GTGACTTTCTTGTCTGCTCCAGGCTGGTGGGCATAGGGGAAGTTGTGTTTGCTGTGGGTTCGTTGTCTGGGGTTGGAAGGGGCAGGATTTGCCTCAGGCTGGTGTGGGAGGAGGGCTGTTTCCCAGGGCAGGACAGAACCACAAAATCATTAAGGTTGGAAAAGACTTGTAAGAGCATCCAGGCCAACTGTCAACTCATCACCACCATGCCCATGTCCCTCAGCACTATGTCTACATGACTCTTCAATCCCCCCAGGGATGGGGACTCCACCACTGCCCTGGGCAACCCCTTCCAATGCCTCAGAACCCTTTCAGCAAAGAAATTCTTCCTCACATCCCATCTCAACTGCCCTTGGTGCACCTTGAGGCCATTTCCTCTTGCCCTGTCCCTTGTTCCTTGGTTGAACAGACCCACCCCCACCTCTCTCCACCCTCCTCCAAGGGACTTGCACAGAGCCACAAGGTCTCCCCTCAGCCTCCTTTTCTCCAGATTAACATTCCCAGACAGGAGCAGCACAGGGGACTGGGGATGTTCCTTCCTAAAACAGATGAGGGAGAGACTAGTGACTCCTGTGGGGCACAGGAGCTTCCTCAGGCTCAATGCTGAGACGGTGTTCACTCTGGGAGGGAGCAGGTCAGGATTTGTGCTGCGTTTCTGAACTGTGTCCCTCTGCCCACAGCAGCAGCACGAGGACCTGTCCGCTAAGAAGCTGCGCCTGACCAAGCCCAGCAAGTCAGCAGCCCTCCATGTCGACCTGTGCAAAGCCACCTCACCTGCTGATGCCTTGCAGTACCTGCTGCAGTTTGCCAGGAAGCCCGTGGAAGCAGAGAGCGTGGAAGGGGTTGTCAGGATCCTGCTGGAGCACTATTACAAGGTGGTGAAGCTGGGAGCCAAACATGCTTCCAGAATTCTCATTCTGTTTGTGCTGTTTTCTTGGGGTTGAATATGGAATAGAGAGTCACAGGCTCCTGGTCCTGACTCAGGTGCCAAGAGGCTGGGCTGTTGGAAGCCGTGTGTGAGGAGAGTGAGTGTCTGTAATCCTTTACCTGAGTGATTTGGGAGCTGATTCTCACTCTCTACTCCGCTCTCCTGACACCCCACCTGCAGTGCTGCCTCCAGTGCTGGGGCCACCAACAGCACAAGGACATGGAGCTACTGGAGCCAGTGCAGAGGAGGCCACGAGGATGATGCCAGGGCTGGAGCAGCTCTCCTATGAGGACAGGCTGAGAGAGTTGGGGCTGTTCAGCCTGGAGAAGAGAAGGCTCCAGGGAGATCTTATAGCGGCCTCCCAGTACCTGAAGGGGCTACAAGAAAGCTGGGGAGGGACTTTTCCTAAGGGCAACTAATGACAAAACAAGGGGAAATGGGTTTAAGCTGAAAGAGGGGAGGTTTAGATTAGATATTAAAAAGAAGTTCTTCACTGTGAGGGTGGTGAGCCAGTGTCCCAGGTTGGGCAGAGAAGCTGTGGCTGCTCCTCCCTGGAAGTGTTGAAGGCCAGGCTGGATGAGGCTTTGAGCAACGTGGTCTAGTGGAAGGTGTCCCTGCTGCTGGCAGGGGGGTTGGGACTGGATGAGCTTTAAGGTCCCTTCCAACCCAAACCAGTCTGGGATTCTATGATTTCTGATCATCTTAGTGCCTTTGCTGATGTTTTCATGAGCCAGTGACGGGGCTGTGACTACGTTACCTCTGCAGGTGGCCTTTGTGATTAATTTTAAATTAACAAAGAACAAAAGACATGACAAGAAGTTTTCCAAGGGACCCATCTGTCCAAAGCTGTCTCAGTCTTTCCTGACTGATGTTTTTTTGCATCTTGAAAACTTTCTTTAATTAAACTTTAAATTTTCAAACAGGTAATTTTGGTGATCTTGAGGAATGATGAGTAAAAGGTGATTTTGAGGAATTATGAGTAAAAGGATCATTTGGAAATGCAGTGGGAGCTGCCACGTAATCATTTTGTCATGGTTAACTTTCCACGGGGCGTGCTGTGGATGTGTGGAGGAGGAAGTTGCCTGGCAGTAAAATTCAAACCCTTGTGGTGAATTATATACAAGTCCTTCCTGTGTGTAGTGTTTTGTGCTCTTCAAACTGGAAAATGAATGAGAATATCTCCTTGTTTCCTTGTAGGAGAATGATGCCTCTGTAAGATTGAAGATTGCTTCCTTGCTGGGCTTGTTGTCAAAGACGGCGGGATTCTCCCCTGACTGCATCGTGGATGATGCCATCAACACGCTTCAAAATGAGAGTAAGTCCTGCTTTTCTGGTGGTGCCTGAGATCAAGGCACAAACACGGTGTCTTTAAGGATTCAGGACAGTGGTAAGGTCCTTACATCTGAAGTGTGTGATTGGGAGTTGATTTATATCAACCTGGAGAAGAGAAGGCTCCGGGGAGATCTTATAATGGCCTTCCAGTACCTGAAGGGGCTACAAGAAAGCTGGGGAAGGACTTTTCCTAAGGGCAGTTAATGACAAAACAAGGGGAAATGGGTTTAAGCTGAAAGAGGGGAGGTTTAGATGAGATATTAGGAAGAAGTTCTTCACTGTGAGGGTGGTCAGACACTGGAACAGGTTGCCCAAGGAAGTTGTGGATGCTCCTCCCTGGAAGTGTTTGTGGCCAGGCTGGATGAGGCTTTGAGCAACCTGGTCTAGTGGAAGATGTCCCTGCTGCTGGCAGGGGGGTTGGAACTGGATGGGCTTTAAGGTCCCTTCCAATCCAAACCATTCTATGATTCTGTGATTCTAAAGATGTTGTGGTGGTCCAGGTGGACAGTAGCTAAAGGTGAGTGAGCAGTGAAGTCACTGCATACCAGGTTGTATCAACAGGAGTGTAGCCAGAGGTGAAGGGATGGGTTATTCCTTTTTACTCAGCTCTGGTTTGACCACATCTGGAAAACCACATCCAGTTTTGGGCTCCCCTGTGCCAGGTAAGTGCTGATGAGGCTGAGTGAGTTCTGCAGAGTGTCACTGAGGTGGTTGGGGGCTGGAGTATGTGATGTGCAATGAGAAGCTGAGGGAGCTGTGCTTGTTCTGCCCTCTGAAAGGAGAAGGCTTCAGGAGAACCTTCCAACCTGGCTGAGCCTGTGCTTCTGTAGCTGATGAGGAGCTCAGTGAGGAGGTACATGGCCTTCACCGTTTTGTTTTGCAGAGTCTCATCAAGTCCTTGCTCAGCTGCTGGACACCCTGTTGGTGATCGGCACAAAACTCACAGAGAATCCATCTGTCAGGATGAGACTGGTGGAGGTAGCCTGCAAGGTAAGGTGGCTTCTTTGGGGCAGGAAACTTTTATCACTGCTACAGGAAAAGAATGTAGTCAGTGTTTAAATTATTTTTTCTCAAAAAACTGTTGCAATATTGACATTTTTTAACTGCTGAGAATCTGAATGTGACTCGTTGTTTTGAGGGGGTGAAAGAGCAATAAGAATCCATTTACATCTGTTCTTCTCTTCCATTCCACAGCATCTGACAGATTCTTCCCATGGTGTAAGAAATAAGTGTCTTCAATTAATTGGCTGTCTTGGACCAGTGGAAAAAGGTGTTGCAAAAGAAGTTGAAAGCCAAGCTGCCAAAGATGTCCAGAAGATCATAGGGGATCATTTTAATGACCAGGACCCTCGTGTTAGGACTGCAGCTATAAAAGCCATGGTAAGTGTTGCTGGCACAGTGGAATAACAGATACAGTGGCCCCCAGAGAAGGGCCACCAGGATGATGCCAGGGCTGGAGCACCTCTCCTATGAGGACGGGCTGAGAGAGTTGGGGCTGTTCAGCCTGGAGAAGAGAAGGCTCCAGGGAGATCTTATAGCAGCCTCCCAGTACCTGAAGGGGCTACAAGAAAGCTGGGGAAGGACTTTTCATAAGGGCAGTTAATGACAAAACAAGGGGAAATGGGTTTAAGCTGAAAGAGGGGAGGTTTAGATGAGATATTAGGAAGAAGTTCTTCACTGTGAGGGTGGTGAGACACTGGAACAGGTTGCCCAAGGAAGTTGTGGGTGCCCCCTCCCTGGAAGTGTTTGTGGCCAGGCTGGATGAGGCTTTGAGCAACCTGGTCTAGTGGAAGGTGTCCCTGCTGCTGGGATTTTTAAGATACCCACATCTATTGTAATTGTAATTTAATATGGTTAATACTAAACAATTGTTTGAAGGCTGGGAAAATGGACAGTCAGTTTATTTATATAAATTGTATTTTCCTCATCAATCAGAGTGGCTGTGAAGTTGGGAAAAAGAATTATACTAAGTCAAGATGATTATTTAAAATACTTATGGCCAAGATAATGAAATATTTGAATTATAGCAGCAGTAAAGAAACGGAAGCAACTAAGTTTACTCAAAGCAGAAAAAATCAGTGGTGAAAACTTAGTCTGTGTCACTTAAACCTGTAGTTATACTTTCTCTTGTTTTGTTTTGTTTTTTCCTGTAGCTGCAGCTTCATGAAAGAGGATTAAAATTACATCAAGCTGTTTACAGTCAGGTAAAGCTTTGTATTAATTTGTATTTATTTTGTACTTCCTTGATTATCTTGCTTTTTAGATTCTGTGATAACGTGGTTTGAGAGGAGGAGAGTGTTGAACAGAGGTGGAGTATTTTGCACTTAGGTTGCCTGAATTCCTTATTGCCCTATGGCAGCAGAAATAAAAATCAGTTTTACATCTCATTGTTTAAACACACTGAAGCACATCCTTTGATTGGAATATATTGTTGATTGGAGGTGATAATCATGGGAAGCACAAGGCATTATATATTTATTACTGTAATCTAGCAGTCTTGAAGTCTTTAACCCTTGTTCACTGGTGAGTACACGTGAAGCCTGTGTTTGTGATGTCAATAAGGTTGTGCCATCAAAGCCTGTATGAAATTAATTCTAGCACAGACTCACATTTCACACTTCCTGCATAGTACAGGCAATTCTGGATTTTTACAGCATGTGCTTGATTGAATTTGTTAGGACTCGTCTACATAATCCAACTTGGAAATACTGGGGAGTAGAAGGGAATAATGAATTTCATAATCTGTTCTAACCAATTCATGGTAAGGATATGAATTGCAGGGTGGGGGAGCAACCTGGTCTGGTGGAAGGTGTCCCTGCTGATGGCAGGGGGGTTGGAACTACATGATCTTTAAGGTCCCTTCCAGCCCAAACCATTCTATGATTCTATGAAGTGAATGACAGCTCAGGTGGAGATGTTTCAGGTGTAATTGGACTGTAATTTTCTTTCAGGCCTGCAAGCTGTTGGCAGATGATTACGAGCAAGTGCGCAGTGCTGCTGTCCAGCTAATTTGGGTCCTCAGTCAACTTTACCCTGAAAGGTATGTGTTGTATTCAAAATACTCAACGTATCACAGAATCACAGAATGTCAGGGAT